CGTATCTCTTAATCGGTAAAATTAGACCATCCGACTAGTCAGCGCTGACTAGTCGGATGGTCTAATTTTACCGATTAACCCCAACATGCCGTTATTCTCAGGGTTATTGGGTGTGCACTCACGTTGCCTGGATGGAGTCGAGCCCTCCATGGGCGAGGCCGGCTGGAGCGAAGTCATGCTCACGATCCAGCGAGTGAGTGGCGTGCTGCAACTGGGACCCTTCAGTGCATGATGCCCTCCCGAGATCGTTTACGCGTGGTAACGATCACGTCGCGAACCAACGACAGAAACGTCTTCCCATCCATAGTGTGCAAAGCTCAGCAGCGCTTCACGTAGGCCCGCGTATTGTATAGCTTCCGATCCCATACATATATATTCGCTACAGCTGTAAAGGTCTTTGATTATCGCTCTCGTCGGTGCCAATTTTGACACAGCTCGAAGGATCGGACCGCACCTTGGCGGCGGTGGACACAGGGGGGGAACACCTGGACGTCCTTATGGAGGTGCTGATGGAGGACAGCAAGATTTGGACGGAAACCTCCGAGGAGGTGCAGGTCGGTCTGACCATCTCTTCTCAGAATATCACGGTTTTTGTGATTGCGGGACGTGGAGAGGGGGGCGTGCGGATAGAAGGTACGATGATCACGTTCATCGGATACTCCCGACAAGAACGAAAACGAGCGATTTCCGCGTTGTTCCCGTCTTCGCCGTTGCTCCGTCGTCTACATGCCTCGTATCCATAAACAGGACACACCACCAGGTCCAGAAGCCGCGACAATCGAAGAAGAAGGCGGCGCGGCAAAGGGTACGGACCACCCTCCGTTTGAGACGGAAGCAGCGACTTTGTCCGTCGGCACACAAGCACCACGATACCCGACGATGTTCCTTTGCAAAAGAAGGAGTCTCTGGAGGACACGAAGGAGTCGAATGGTCCCCAATCCGCTGGCGATCAAGAAGAGACTGAATCCAAATCGTGGGTAGTCACCATCAAAAGTGTTTTGTATTGCATTGGTTGTTCGGCAGCAGTCGCGCCCTTCTTGGTACTCATTGGCATTTGGGGAATTATCGAAACACACTGCGATGGCCCAACTCCACTGGCTCCCTCGATGTCGGTTTTCGTTTCGAGGAGTTCGTGGAAAACGGTGTCTGCTTCATTGGTGGTTGGATAGGAGCCATGACTTTCTCAGTGCTGGACGGCCTTCTTCTTTGGGCAGTCGCGACTCTCTTGAAAGTCTGTAGCAGTGTGATGTTTCACAACCTTGGCTACTCCGCAGCAGTGGTGGCGTTCTTGGTGCTTGTTGGATTTCTGAGGAACATGCATAATCGGCAAGCAAGGAACACCTTCGATGCAGTGGTGACATTCTTCGATGATTTCTTCTGCGGGATTTGGGATTCGGAAGCAATCGCGGTTTTCTCTGAACTGCTCGATCTGACTGTGTGGGCGGCCGAGGCGTGCTTGACCGTCTGTCGCCGTGCGATTAGCTAGTACCGTGTGGGAGTTATTGTCACACCGCTGTTGTGAAGCGCGACGTATGAGTAGATTTCCATCCTTGTTTTCGTCTTCGAATGACAAAGGCAAGTTGTCTGGGTGGGTTGAGACACCCCATCGTCTGCGTTACACCTGCAAAGGCATGCTCGACCACCCCATCCTCGCTTGCGCTGTACATGGTCTACGAGGGAGTCATACCCTCCAGGTTTTAGAACCTCAACGTATCTCCGTCTCAAACCAGATGTTTTCCACGTTATTATTGAATTTGTAGGCCGGCGAAACAACGTCGAAGATTATCGGGGCCCCATCGTTTCGCCGCTTACACTGGTGGTGGGATCCGTCAATGTTGAGGTGGTCGAGTTGTGAGTATCACTGTCGCCAGTCGTTCTGTTTGAGGATTACGGCTAGGGCTTACCGTAGACGCAATGCACGTGCTGGGCTGTGAACGTGGTCCGCGCAGGGTACATAGAAGGACTCGTTGTGTCCTGTTGAAAGCTTGTGGCATGATTAGGCCTTCGAACACCACACGATATCACGCCTGATTCTTTACGCGGCCAAAGCAATGCAACGGGAAGTACCATGGGGGACGAACGATACACGTGTACACAAGACGGTAGGACGAGATTTGGGTGGAAGCACCAAAACACACGAGAGGGGGAAGCCATGAAGGGGTGGGTTCCGTTGCCGGGGGGGGGGGCGAGAGAAATTCGGACAGCGGCGCACGTAAAAAAACGCCAACAGGTGCATAAAGAGGAGATATCTTGGTGTAGTGTAGAGTTGAAAGTGTACCGTACATAGTGAACCATGGAACCCGGAAAGCGTTGTAGAGGGGAATACTGTAGACACGAACCAGGGCAGGATTTCTGTAAATAAGAGAGGGTGCAGGACTTGAGAGAAAGACTGAACACGTGGCCTTGAACGAAACAGACTGCTACCGTAGATGAAACTTTGTTCCCTCGTGTGAAGGCGATGTATCGGTAGCAAGCTTTTGACCACCACTACGTACATTTTCGACATTTCCTTACCAAACTGACTCTTTCAGAGTTTTGACACGTTCCTTTTACGTAGAGTGGCTTCCACGAAGGAGGGTCTGCCGGCGGGAATTTCGCGCGCTGTTGCGACAACAATCTTCGAACCTAGATAGCAAATGTGAAACCGTCTTCTTCAGATCGTGTACAATAGACCGTACTTCCTTTGAATGTCGCTGGGGGGCAGGAAGTTTCCACATCATCCCCACCTTCTTCGAGGGTATGGACGGAGCTTGTAGACACACCCGTGTAATTCCCACTTCAACTTCACCGATACTTCCTACCGTCGCATGTTGGCCGCCTGCCCCATGGGGGGCGCGGGCGCAGTACCTGCCCCTATTGTATAAAGTCGGTGGTGTAATAGTGCGGACGGCCATCTAACCTTGGATGTGGTTTGAACCCTATAGCTAAGAAACCTAGGGCGGGTAATAAACCTTGCGGGATACACCGACTCTTTTCTCCATCCCAATGTTGAAAAGAAGCAGTGGAATACTTGTTCTTGTAGCAACTGGGTCAATCCGTTGACAAGCACCATGCGTAGATGCCGCATGTGCCCCATGGGCGGGGTAGATGGCTTTCTTTTCACCACCTAGATCTCTCTGCCTACAAGACTCGATCACAACAACAGGAGCGGGGGCCAATACCGCAAAACCCTTCCGCACATCCTCAAACACGTGAACGTGGAATGTGCACACTGCCTTCTCCAACCTTGCACACAACAAGCAACGAGCATACCACACCAGCATACTAAACAGCACCTTTACTCTCGGGCCCGTTTACAAAACCATCTGCCCGTAGCCCGCAACACCGGCTGGAACGATGTGACCCATCACGTTGCAGTATTGGCAAAGGTCCAATCAATGCTAGAATAATTGTGTCCTCCACATGCACGCGTGACGCGGGAGGGAACGAGTGAACGATCCCACCTCCCTAACGTGTAGACATGGACCTCCAAGCGGAGGGTCGCATTGACGGCGATGATGGGGACCAGAGGTCAGATGCATCCCAGGTGTGGGTGCAAGGCGGGGTCCATGTATGATGCCTGTTTCGCATTAAAATTTCAATAACCACGTCTCACTCGAGAGCACTCTGGCTGTCGTTCTTTGCGTCGCAAAACCGTATCCCAAGGAAACGGGGTTTACACTATGTGTTTGACATACAGCTCGTACCCCTCTATATTAGTCGGTATTAGGAGCATATTCCAGGTCAATAAGTTCATTCACAAATACCATAGGTATTGCTGTACATATCCATATCCCGCGAATTACTCATATCCTTTCATTCGTAGCACGTTTCAGAGGCCCAGATGCGTGAGATGGTCGAAGTCGAAGTGTACGCGACAGCGGAACGCTACACTACACGCTTGAAACATGCGTATACTAGCGCCCAAAATACGACCACGATTCGGTTAGAGTGTGTTACTTCATCGGCGGTAGTTCTTCTACCTGTGTTGTCAAAATGGTTTGTCGCATTATTCATTCTTTTGCGAGTGAAATGAATTGAAACAAACTCATTCATTTCACTCGAAAATACCTTTTCCCACATGCGAAGCAGGTGGACACGTTAAAGCGAAGTAAAAAAAGGTACAGATCACCGTGCACATACTTACCGTTATTGGCATACGAGCAGTGGTATCACGGCCTATGAATGGGGGGATGTAGCGATGATGGACTCCGCCTAGTGTGTGAATCTTCGTCCTGTGAACAAGCGGGACATTGACCATCCCATAACAGTTCTTTTTATTCGGTCTGCCTCTTTCTCTCTATCGATCGACCCGGTTCTCTGTCCCAACCCACCGCATTTTGAGCCTGAGCGCAAACCCATGCTGTACTTCCCCCGCCAGTGTTTGTTTTGCTCCTCCCTGCAGCGTTACGTTTCTAGTTGAGTGCTACCTCGGTCTCTCCTGGTTTGAATTGGTGTTTGGGATCTCCGCTTTGCTCATCGCAATCCTTGTTGCTGACAACTGCCGGGGTTGCGCCGTTCTGCCCTGGGATCTCCGCCTAAGGCTTGGACCGATGCCTATGTACATAGCACGGCCATCTCTTGCCGGAGCACCACCAAACCGGTGTGACGAAAAGGCCATCTTTCTTCCACCTCAGAAACCAATAAATCGTCAATGAGTGCCCTATAGATCGTGTTATGGTAGAAACGGAGGGTAATTTCGGTTGCCCGTGTTGTCACCCTGCATCGCGTTGGAGGAGGCCGATACTTCAAGCCTTTATTGCCATCCTGGGATGAAGGGAAGAAAAGCGGCTTCGCCGCTCCCCGGCTCTCATATTTAGGCGAATCGTTGCGGAGCCCCCAGGGGCACTTGTTCTTGAGAGAATTTTAGCTTCTTCTCGAAACCCCTCGATGTCATCGAGATCCAGTCTTGCTAGAACATGCAATCGAGTGTGTATGTTGTCCTCGACGATTCACAAGCAAGTGGCGGTAATACTGGGTCCTAGTTCGGCCCGGAGCGCGGCGCCGGAGTTTTCACCCGTTGTCCCGTAACAACTTAAGGTAAAATCGAATCGGGAGATTTGTTTTCAACAGATCCCGAGGTAGACAAAGGGCGTGATTGGCCGCTACTGCGATTTGAACCATGGATGGTGCGATCGTGTGAGTGAAATCCATGATCACCTCGACTTTGTCATCTATCCCCGAAGTAGCTTCCCTTTGTGACGTAAGTCCCGAGCGCCTTCGTCTGTTTCATCTGGGCTAGAACGCGCTGACTCGCACACACTTTCCAATCTTCTCGGCAAAATAGGAGACTAAGTGTCAGGCGGCTTCCAAGAATTTGAATTTTAGCGTAAACGATCTCGGCATAACACGTAGACTGCACAACCCGGCAGCTGCAGCACCAAGGGTGATCATGCACGGGTGGCCAGAGGGCAGGTTGTGGGTGGGTTGTGAGCATCCACAAGGTAGGGGCAGGTTGCAGAGGGGGATTGGGAGGAGGCCTCAACCTTGGCCAAACGGCTTGGTTGTACACGGACGGATGCGGAAGGTTGGGAGGCAGCCACAACGTTAGGCCACACCTCTTGGTTGTGCAAGCACCGATCACACAGGTTGGGAGGTAGCCACAACGTTAGGCCATACCACTTAGTTGTGCAAGCACCGATCACACAGGTTGGGGGGCAGCCACAACCTTAGGCCAGACCTCCTGGTTGTGAAAGCACCGATGATAAAGGTTGGGAGGCAGTCACAACCCAATCATCTACATTATAGTATTTTTTAGTGAAATATTTCATGGAAGTCCATGGAGTTTCATGGCGTGCCATGGAACCAGTCCATGGACTTCCATGGACTTCCATGAAACCATGGAAGTCCATGGAAAAATGAAAAGTTTCATGGAAGTCCATGGAACTCCATGACACCATGTCCATGGAAGTCCGTGGAAGTCCATGAAATATTTCATCATGGAAGCCTATGAAACATTTCATGGACGTTCTAGAAATATTCCAGTGACGCCAACTTGGTGGATAAATGGCGACAATGAGCCTTGGCTGTGCTGGACATTCCAACACGGCGTTGACCGCTGGTGAGTGGTTTAAGCGGATACCGTGCTATTTCGAGATGCTGCCCCCATGCCTTCAGTACCTTCTCGGGCCGGTCGACGAGTCATTAAACCCTAACAAACAGGTCAGTACGCGCATTGCGCCTACGGTAGACCCTAGCCGCAACTCTTGAAAGACATGACTGGCGACGGTGACACCGCAGATCGACCAACCCTACAGGCATAGTCTGGTTAACATCTGGCTGAAGCTCCCCACCGCCAGCGCAAACAGCAAAAGGATGGGGTCTGGTGTGACTTCACTGTAGTTTAGCCGTCCTATTATACATGTGCAACTAAGTATATGGTGGAGCACATCCGGCTTGGTCTGGAGATACTTCGCGGTTCACAGGCGAGAAAAGGTGAGACAAAAGCACCGTTAAAACTCCGTACATTAGACAAATAGTGGCAACCTCTCAAGGAAGGACTTTGAAGTGAGTGGTTGAGCACGCCTTTTCCAGGTGCAACTCGGACGACGGGTTACCTAATGCTGCATAGTGCATACACTTGCTAACAACGGGCCTTTTGTCATCCGAAGACGAACAATAGGAATACCACGACAGTGAGCAACAACTTTACGCGGCATAAATTTGTGCATCATGCTTCACCGGAGCACCGACAAAAGCTACCACAAGGTGGCAATCAACCTTTCTTTACAGACCTCCCACTCCCCACAGAACACACCCACAAAGGGCAACGGCAGCCGAGAGTTGCAAAAATGCACACAGATAGTGGTAAATTGTCCCCGACCAATCCGATTCAGCGGAACCGGACTCGTTCGGCTCCCTCGCGTTCCCCACGGGCTCCTCCGTTTGCGGAGGAACACCATTTGGGGTTGTGGTGGGGCCACTCGTTTATGTGCCGGCAGGCCCTGCCGCTGATTCATGGCGATCTGCTTCCTGTTTGGCGTCCCCTTCTTCGACTGTAGCTTTTGCGCCTTGCGATGTATCCTGACAATGAGTAAGAGGCGGGTAGACGAAGTAGCAGCGACGAAGGCGGGAACGACGCGGAAAACACTCGTAAACGTGCTTGCTGAGAGTATCCGGTGAACGTGATCATCGTATCTTGTCTCACCACCCGCACTCTCTCCACGTTCAACAAACGTACACGAACCGTGACATTCTGAGCAAAAAGGGCCAAACCGACCTGCGCCTCCTCGGGGACTTCCGCGCAAATCTCCTAGCGCTCCATTAGCAACTCCATGAGGGCGTCCGGGATACGCGTTCACACGTCGTCGTTCGCGAAAGAGAGACAAACATTTACACACGGTGGAAACCACACGGCTACAGGCTTTCAAGAAGGCCGCGACTACCAAAACAACCAGGCCACAGATTGCAAGGAGAAGCGATAGTGCCGAATATCCAAGGATGCAGTAGATGCTGTTCACCGGCAAATTGGATTTGATTTCGGGATCGCCAGTGGAGGGGGAGCTGGTCGGCTCCTCCGTGCTCCCTAGAGATTGATTGTTTCGCGAAGATCCATCATCGGGTATGGTGGTGGAGCCACTCGTTCGTGTGCCGGCAGACCGAGTCGCTGGTTTATCCGGAACCTGAGGGCGATCGGTTCCCTTGTTGGCAGGATCCTTCCCAATTGTCGCAGCTTTTGCCCCTAGTGGTGCTTCCTGCTGTGGATACGAGGCGGGTAGACGTCGGAGCAAAGACCAAGATGGGGAACAACGCGGAAATCACACGTTTTAGTTCTTGTTGGGAGTATCCGGTGAACGTGACCATCGACTCTTGTCTCAGCACCCCCTCTTCTCCACGGTCAACAAGTGAAAAAACCGTGATATTCTGAGCAAAGATGGCGATACCGACCTGGGCCTCCTCGGAGGTTTCCGTCCAAATCTTGCGGTCGTCCATCAGCACCTCCATGAGGACGTACAGAGGTTCCTCCCCGGGGTCTATCGCCGTCAAGATGCGGTCCGATCCTTCGAGCTGTCAAGATATCCCCCGGGAAAAGGTTTCAAAGCCGTTTACAGCTGTTTAGAGAGTGTATCGGGAAGGAAGCTGGTGAATGAACCCACTTTACGCGCTGATGAGCGTCACGCACTACGAGACAGGAAGACTCACACATCGTTGGTTTGCAACGTAATCTTCTCGTCAAATTAATAACTGGTGTGCACATGCACGGAAAGGCACTTTTAGCAGGACGTCACGTCACCTGCTGAATCTTGAGAATGACTTCGCTCCAATCAGCCAGGCCCGTGGAAGGCTCGTTTCCGTTCACACAGTATCCCTGAGAAACCGGTATCGGTGTGATTACAACGGCATCGTTGGTCTTCAGGCCTCCGTGTTTCCAACCGATTTCAAAGTCGCGATGGAGGAGCCAAATGCCACTGCGACTATTTCTATCATGCCACATATGTACTGAATGATCTAACGAAGCAGTAATCAGTCTAGGGTGCACTCAAGCATGCAAACGGGCGGATCTCTAGCACCTTGTGTACCTGAGTGTGTGCGAGAATCACCGCCACTATGGCGCAAATCACCGCCAGAACCACAAAGAGAATCGACGGCTTGCCGGAGGCAATGGGATGGCGATACTCCCGAATTTTCTCTCCAATCACTATCACGAGAGGCTTCGCCTGTAAGAGGTGAGGGGGCAGGGAACGAGTGGGGAAGATCGTTACAGCAACACCGACATTTCTGATTGAGACGCAACCAATGTCGAGTACGTTGATGGTGGGACACCGTCGAAACGTCGACTCCCCTGGTTCACACGCTGCACTAACCGTTTTCGACAGGTCACACCGAGAAATTATTTCAAACAGATGACACCCACGGGCTCTGATACAATGTTACCGACGACAAATTGGTGGTGTACATATTTCCCAAATGAATTGATCGATATACAAAATTGTCTCCCCGAGGGTTTCGAGAAGACACGAAAATCCGAGGAAGTCGGTGAGTTGCCGCATCTTGTTCGAACCTCTTCCGTTTTGAAGGCTTCATACCGCTTCCTCATCTCGTCCTTCATGTCCTGGAACCCCACCTCCAGAAGGAGACACTGAAGGTAAGTATTGTCACTGTGCTCCGGTCTCATGACATGACAGTCACCCCACGGATATCTGTCAGACCAGGGTCATTGGTGCGACCGGAAATGAGATGAGCCGTTAGACTTTGGTGAGTCACGGGGACTTTGTTTGGAGGTGATAGGTCCCAGCCCATGACCCACAAACGCAATACGTTCGAAATCGATGCACTATGCGAATTAGACGCCAAAAGTCAGTTTTTGGTTGCACAGGCCAGACACGCACGGGCTCGACCACAGCAATACAACCTGCGTACTGGATCGGGAGCATGAGCGTTTCCGTTGGGGTCGTCCACCTGGCTCGAGATCACCGCGTACGGCGGTGGCCGCCTCTCGCCCAGCCAGATGGGCTCATCGGCGATGTTCAGGGCTCCCAGGCACTTTCCCCATGCCCGCTCTGCCCGACATTATCGTTGAGCAGCGGGGGCAGGGATGAACGCCACTCTACTGTCAATCAGCCATTCAAGTGACACATCTTGAAAAACGGGAAACCTACAAAAGGTGGAAGTAACTAACCCCTGGCCTCACAAGGGTGCTGGAGAGCTGGCTCGTGGTGTCACCACGGAGCCACCATTGCGTCCCGTCCGAAACATCACCCACCCGAAAAATTGAAGAACTCGACTCCGTTAGCCTGGGCGGCCGAGTCAACGATGGCCTTTTTGAAGCCAATCATCTCGTCCACCGTCATGCTGTCGGACTTCCCTACCACGGGAATCACAGCAACAACCTGCGCAAAACGGGGATGAGCAAAAGGCGGGGAGGAGCTGAACGAACTTACTGCGTCTCTCGCTCGGTTACGAAAACCGACCGTGGAGCAAGGCCAAGCCATTCGCAACAAATGTCCCGAAGCACTGATAGTCTTCAGGCAGGATCAAAACCGGCCATCACGCGACGGCAGCACATTGTGTACAACCTAGACTCGTGACGAGCTGTCCTGCCTTTCGATCTAGATTCTGTGTTGGCGGTGATTCGGCTGTCATATCTCATAAGAGTTGACCTGTCAATCTCCTGTCCCGCACCTTGGAAAGCTGCTTCATGTATTCGATGTCGATGGGCTTACACCGATGGGCTGCGATAAAGTATATGCTGTAGGTCCGGCAGAACACGATCGGGGCACATCTTGAGTCAGAAATGGTCGTGCAAACGCGTGATCCAGGGGCACGCGACCGATCGGTTGCAGCTCAGGCGAAAACATCACTAATGAGGGTGTTGTTTGAACATCTAGTATACAGTGAATCTGCTGAACACCATGTCATCAATCATTTTCATCACCTCCTTCAACCAATTTGCATGAGAAACAAATTTTAGCATCGTTTCGCACGCCGAGCAGAGCAGTTGGTGGAAGGACCGCCTGTGCATTGAATCTCAACTCACCAAACATCCGTCCTGCCGTCTTCCGACGGAGTGTCATTGCCCCCCATAACCTCGGTCAGGTATTTCCTGCTCCCGCTGGTGATGAAATCAACTACTGGTTGGAAGCTTTTGCGGACGTTCACATGGTCGCCATATCCGGGGGTGTCCTGCCGAGATGTACAGTCGGTTGAGACGTCTTGGTTGCGGGGAGGCCATCAAGACGGCGTAGTGCGTCCCAAAAAGTGAGTGGTCGTCGGTAGTGGGTATCCTCGGACATCGACACCCGCGACAGAAGCATGCAGGCTACGGCACAATCGATGACACCCATACAGACGTAGGACATCGTTCTACATTATTAGTAGGACTTGCTTGACTACCAGAGGTGAATGATCGTCCGTTGCCAAACCGCGAAATCCACTACAATCGGGAGCATTGTGATACGCGGCTTTGACATCCGCACCACCAAAAAGAACTTGTAGCACTGGCCGTCAGAAGTGGTGTGGTCAAATTTGCGTTCTTCGATCCTGAGCGTCTTGCTGTGGCCTAAGACGCGTCCTGTCTGCCCACGCACGACAGAAGCCTGTTCCATGGGGTCTTCGCCTTGGTTGAGATGGCGGAATATGTTGTTTAGGAATGTCGTCTGGAGGAGCAACAAACAGTACCGATCAAACGGAAAGGTTCGGTGGCACGGGGGGAGTGGTCACAAAGGTTTGGTGGCAAGGGGGGAGTGGTCACTACCTGCTTTTTCGCACTGAATATTACCTACAGTCTTTCAGCAGTACATCGTCATTGAAGCGAAAAGAGCCGGGGGAAATATTTAAGCCCTATCTCCGCCGAGCCATCACCACACTTATCTCCCGATAGGTTGTTGCGAGACACGTATTCCGCAGTTTCGTGCAAGAGGGAAAAACAAAAACTTGGTGCTCCATTCTGTGCAGTCATGTGCCTACATGCAGTGTAGGTACTTGCCACATAAAAAGGAAGCAAGAGAGTTGTTGTTAACGTAGACTCACCCTCGGGGCACCCTCGAGCCAATTCTCCATTCCGTACTGTAGAAATCGCATCACGCCTTTAACATCATTCCTTCTCACGAAGTTGGGGCGGGACTTCATATTTCGAATCCGGAGTACTCCGAGGCTACTCGTGGTCGTACCGCATATGGACATGCTGTGTATCACAGGTGGAGGTCGACTCCCCTTCCCCAATGTGCCGGATGCCCGCGCCCCCTTGTGGAGACTTTGGCAAGGTCGGACACCTTGGTGAACCCAACCAAGGTCTCGAAAAATACTCTCCCCTTTCGAGGCCTTGGTTGGGTTCACCAAGGTGTCCGACCTTGCCTGCCAAAGAGACTCCACAAGGGGGTG